GTCATAAAACATCCAGTGGCAGGAGCGTTGCTGCAACAATGTAATCAGTTGCCGATGACTCATTACACGAGATCCCTCGCGTCATCCGATACTCGGTCCAGTACTCGACTACCAGAAACTACCACAATTGAAATGCTTGGATTATATTTTGTATTACCTTTCACATTTGTTTTTTTCTTATAAACTTAAATTACTTATTGTATGTACACGTGAAATAGTATATACACACACACATACATTCACACATTACATCAGTTTATAAATGCGCGTGTACTTTAATTCATTGCAATTGCAGGGAATTCTCCGTACTGTCTACAGGTAACGAGACGTCTCGGAGCGTGGCAAATTCAGTGCGGAGGAGTGTTGCTCCGATTCTGTGTATCGCGCCGTCGACCAAACCCAGTCACATTTCGCAGTCGGCACTCGGGGTCTACGATCAAAACTGTGCGATGAAATTCAACAACACAACACCAGTGTACCGCAGCACAAATTCATTCCTGCAACCTCGAACACAGCTGCCAATTCTCAAACTGGACAGGCGGCAGACCCAAGGTGGCAATAGATTAGTGTTATCCAACACTGCATTACACAGTGACAAAGGTGATTTAGGCAACACTTAGGTGTTGCCATCTCAGAAATTGCAAGTCGGTCCCACAGTATTGGTGCGCAACTGTTATTTGTGCATCGACTCAACGATGCACTGTGCCTGGCACCGTGGGTGTTGAGCAACGCAAAACGGCACGCATCTCTCATTGCCCTCACGTGTCAAATTGTCTCCGCACTATCGCGGGCATCGCGAGCAGCATTCCGCTTCGTTTATGGCCCCGAGCAGGTGGTGGAAATTCCACGTTAGGGTGGCGGGGCCAATTCTCCTTTTGGACACCCACTTGACTTCCCACAAAGCGGTACTTATTTTATATCGATTGCGGAGATGATGGGCCGAGTTAACCCCCATCAGGATTTCAAATCCCAAATTTCCAATTAGTTGAGCTCTAACCACGGTGCCATGCAGTCAATGTGTGTAACGGTCTACACACGTGTGTGTGTGTGCGCGTGTACTGCCTAGTGGGGAGCGGTGGTGCAGCGATTAGCGCGCTGCACCACGGACCCTGCGAGCCGAGTTCGATTCCCGCTGACGGCCAATACCAGTGACGATTATCTGAACCGGTCAAGGGCCTCCCCTAGTTCAACACGGGAGGAGGAGGGGGGGTGGTCTTGGTACTGCATTGTATTATCCAATGACGAGCACATCTCATACTCAAACGATGTTTAGTGCACGAGAAAGTAATCGCAATATTATAATCGCAAGTACGGCACTCTGTAATCAGTTACAGGTTGCACGTGGAGTCGTTGTGATGGGTTACACTTGACGAGCTGCAGTGATCGGACTGCCGCGGCGTCGTTGCAGCTGCGACGCGCCAAGTCCCATCGATCGCTTGAGCGAACGGGAACCTCAGGGCGCGAAGAGCCACAGCAAAGGGTGCTCGGAGCGTCGGTCTTGTGGAACTTGACATTAGGGGAACTCTTTAACAGCGAAGTTTTTAACACAAACTCCCCTGCGCCTGAGTGTCATCAACACAAGTAACGGCAGTGAAGCAAATTGCCCCCCCCCCCCCTCCGATTCATTACAAATAATCGGGGCTTAATTTCCCATTGAATATTTTCCAGGGCATCCCCCCCCACCCCCCACAACTCTACCCTGACAGCCAATAAGGGGGCCTTGGTCAGATATTTTCTAGAGCTCAAGCCCATACAGCTCCGACTTGCAATGAAGCCCTGCCAATGGGGTTTCACAAGAATCTACTGGTTGAGGAAGCAAAACTGGTAAGTTTATTTCACACGCAAAGAAACATTTTTTGAAAATAAACGTGCCCGTCTTTAAATATTACCACAATAAATTGATCAATTGTTGGCTTTCACCGTCATGTATTTTGTTTTATTGTACCGTTGATAGCGACTGGGCGAAACACACTTTTTTGAAAGGAAATGAAAGCCAAAGTGATAAAAACCGTAAGAGAGTCCAACAAACACATGGGCCAGTCATGAGAGCACCACGCTTGTGTTTTTTTAAATTTCATATTTAAAGCTGAAATACTTCCACGTGATAAATAAAATATTGCACTGCGGAAATAAAACGTCACGTTTCAAGTGTTCAACGTACCAGGGAGACACCTGCTTGCGTTCAACCACCGAATGCCCAACCTCTCCCATCGTTGGACAAGGATTCAGAGCGAGCCCCTCAATTGGGAAATAAACAGGAATATGATGGCAAAAACATCCTAACACGGCATTCTAAACGCTCGGTCTGCGGCCACAATATCAAATCGCGATAACGAGCCTCCAATCAACTCCGTGTCGTGTCAGATGCCCTCCGATATGACACTCAAAGAGAGAACACGACGACAAACTAATCTTGGTACTCGTACAGATATCGATGGGTGCGCGCTTTTTATTCCAATCGGTTGTCTGCATGTTTTACAACACGACGAGACCGACGAAACATGGGAGAGATAACGCGCGTGTGCGAAAACAAAATTAATGAACACAGACGACGTGTATTGTGCATTAGCGTTCACCTTGGTATGTTTTTTTTAAATATATAAACCAACCTCCAACCACTATCCTGATGGTTTATTATTGATTAAAGGAGGGGAAATTAATAACCAGCATCAGGTGACATTGATGCATTGAACTGGACAAAGAAATAATTTTCGTCATCGCCGTCATTATGAGTGAAAAACCATGAGACCGGGTAGAGTAGGGTAGGCCTCAGGTCGGTGTGCGGCATTGGGTAACAAGGAGAGAACGCGTGCAGCACACTCACACAAAGGAGATGGATTCGTGAACAACTGGGACAAATTGAGATCAGAGTTTGATTGTGACTTGCGGAGGTTTCTATCCAGCAGTGGACCGAGCATGGGTAATGAAACGTGGAGTAAGTATGTCAGTTGAGCCACTGCAGCTTTTCACATTTTTCCACGACGTAGAATTGTCCTCAGGTGGCTCATACTCCAAGTGGCTTTTAATTTTTATTATTATTATTAAATAACTTAAGACAACACGAACCGTTCACGTGAATCCCTGCATTGTAATACTGAAGAGCCTCGGCCCGCATCTCTTATCTGGACAAAATCGTTCGCCAAGCAAATGCAATTTTAAAGTCTCAAGTGCAAATAAGAAATGTATCGGTCGTTTTTCTTGTTTTTTTTGTATCCGTTTTTTTAATCAAATGTTTTTCCTTTTTTTAATCCACCGGACGGTAGTTTTATCAGATCTGTTCCTCAAAACAAATTTACCGCAAACAAAAAAAAAGAAGTCCTGATGTGGCACAACGCAAATTACGTCCAAAACGTTCATTGGGCAATGCAATCGTCCTCGCTGACACGGCGCGCGTGTTTTGATGGGCTCCGTTAGAAATCGGGGATTGAGAATCAGCCGCACGGAAAAACAAGTTGACTTTTCAATCAACCTATTTAAAAAATAAAACGTGAAAATAAATAGCGCCGCTCTTTTGCAGGCAGTTACAAGTTTGTGCGCAAGATTGTTTCTCAGGAATGTTCCGATTTGTGATTTAATACCAAAAACAATCAACAAAATATTCAGAAGCCGCTAAAATGCTAACAGAATAATTACGACCCATTCACGAAAGTGCTCAAAAACAATGAGGCTCGCTTCATAATTTGGCATTAAGATATCAGAACCTACTGCGCATTAATTGCACAATGTGCATTATTACAATGGCTTGGCAGTTTAAAAACTTTTTTTTTTACTTGTCTTGTTCAGAAAACTCATTATGTAACAATAATCCAAAGTCTCTTTAAGATATTGATTCATCAAACTCTCTCCACGCAACAGTAACACAAGGACTGCCGTACGTTATCATGAATGTAATTATTTCAATTTCAAAGAAAAAAATATTAACAAAAAATAGTCTTTTTAAAAATAAAAGTACGCAGCCGTGCACACACACACACAAACCCGCCCACAAACAGACAAAAACAAGCCGACAGGACTGGTCCAGTGCCACTCGTAACAAGTGAGAATTACCCTCCCCGTGTGAGCAGCTTCAAATTTGTGAAAACAAACACCGAAATAGGAATCTTACAAACCTAATGTTCTGCCACACTTCGATGCCCAACTTTGTGGAGGACACGTGTGGTGGGACCTTGCTCTGGTGCCGCAAGCATGGGGGCAACGTTCCTTCACGGGGCCCCGATGTTTGTGGAGAAGCAGCGGTGGCGGTGAATTCGGTTCCTGTCGATGGAGCTTGGTGGATTTATCACGCCGCAGGATCATGAAAGATGACGGCCGCTGGAGAGAGGCCTTCATCCAGCAGTGGATAGAAGACCAACGATGATGACGACGAATTAGTCATATCTGGCTAGGAAGGGGAGTGCTGCAATTGGAACCATTGGCTCGCTGTTGGAAATTTGTGAGTTCCATCACCGCCCCCCCCCCCCCTAGCATCGATAACACGAGGACCACTCTCTGTAGGAAGTCAACAGTGGCCAGTACTATGGATAGACTGGACCTTGGCATGGAAATGTGGAATGTCGTCATGATGACGGGTAAAGTGAGCGCCACTCGGCGAGGCTGCAACACCCGGTGGGAAGTTGTTCGTGCTCGCCTCGTGGATTTGCCAAAGTTGTCATAGGAATGTGGAATTACCACAGGATTAACAAACGGGACTTGGGGTATGGACAAATAGGTCGGTAACGCACGGGAAAGAGCGACTTTGTATTCCTGACCAATTTAGTGTGGGGAGAACCCCTCTGCACAGACACACGTGACCAAGCAGTAACAACGTATGAAGACATATATACCACCAGCAGCTATTAACACTATTTTAGAATGCTCGTATTTAACAATAATCTGGTTATATTACATCTACAGCAGGTATTAAAATGTAAATCACAGCACGGTATTAATTAAGCAGTGCATCGAACAAAAGATACCCAGCCCTGCAAAATACAAATTTTACACATTTTTTCCTCCCCCCCCCCCCCCCCGTCGTTTTATTTTCATTTCCAGTGTTGTTTTGAAAACGTGGTGAACGCCCGAAAAAAATGTGCAGGATAAAAAATGCAGTGGGCGCACGGCGATTGCTTTCGCGCAAACCTCGTCCCCTAAAGGGAAAATAGAAACGTTCCTACGACTGTTTATAGTTTTACTCCTTAAAAAGGGGGGGGGGGGGGTAAAAGGTTTGTGGGTTTTGGGTGCACTGCAAATACAAAGTTTTCAACAGTTCCCATGTGCCGTCTTTTTGTAACAAATCCCCAGTAAATTACAAAGCCCCCAACCTCTCCACCTACTCTTGTCCTCCACCATGTTGCTGAGCTCAACGTGAAGTTGCTTAAAATAACAAATTTGGTCGTTTCCGAAATTTCCTCCCCTTTGCGAATCACAAAGCGCGCAAAAAGCCATTTTAGTTTATTGTTTATGCAGCAGTAGCTTAGTGGTCACTGTACGTTTTTGATCGCGAAAAAAATTCTGCGAAGCTTTTGAAAACGTGGAAACATTTCATCGTTATCATCACCGTCATGGTCCCCGTAAATTTGTATTTTTGCTTAACATTGTTTTTTTTGTTTGATTTACACCTCTTCGAAAACGTCGTAGTTGGCGCCTTACGATTCCGTAACGCGCGTCGCATCGGAACTCCCGAGTTCGTTCTGCAGTCGCAACCTCGCCTGCTGCCATCCATGACACACAACAGTGTCAATTGTCCTTTTCACCACGACCACCACCACGACCATCACCTCCTCCCTCGCCAGCCACCCTTCCCCTTAACTTCCACCCACACCACCTTCCTTTCGCCAATCATCTCGCCCCACAACTCTTTGCATCCCCGCCCCCATTGTCCAGCCGCCATGCAGGCCATTGCCGTCCCCACAACGTCCACAGCCTTCTGCTGGTCGCCGCCACCACCCCCGCCGCCACCACCACCACCGCCGTCGCCGCCGCCCGGTGCCTGGGGCAGCGAGGGGGCAGCGAGGGGCAGCGCCTCGCAGGGCAGGGCCCGTCCGTGGGCCCTAGCGAACCTGGGATTGGTAGTTCTCCTTCATGGCCCCTTCCTCATAGTCCATCTGGCACAGGATCATGTTGTTCTTCAGGAAGAACTTGTCTCCCACGCAGAACCTGCACATAGTCCACACACGACACGACGGGGTTAGCGCCTTGGTTGGTGCGATTTTTATTAAGTCTCTCCCGGGGGGGGGGGGGGGGGGCACAAAGCACTGTTGGCGAACGCCTGGTAATGATGGCATGGCCAGAGAGTGCTGTTTGCTCCTCCGGTGTGTGTGTGTGTGGTATTGGGCCGAGTCAACCTAGAGGAGGGCACACCAGTCAGGTCTCGTGGTAAGTTCACCCCGATGTGCATGACTTGGGATCGAACTTGGGTTGTCGTCGTCGTCATGGTCGCTGTTGTTATAAATGTAGCACAACAGACTGCTGCTCAGTTGCGTGGTAAACATGGGCACTTTGCCAATAAAAAAATTAAGTCGATCTAAAGCGAACGATGGCATTCATTTGTATCCCTTCCATGGAGGATTGAATAGTGCAATCTCAATGAGCAGAGCGATAGAACATACAGCCAGTTCTCGCAATTAATAGGTTACCTTTTGTGGGAAATGTATAAACTTGGATTGGATGATATCAGCTGCATGTTCTGCTGCCATGTGTAATTGTCCCTTAAAAAAAAGGCGCACACTTTAGACTGCGGGCTTTATCGCAGACGCATCGCCAATTTGACATTTTCTTTGCGCCGAATGCGGCGTAATATTGCAGATAAAATAAATATAAAAAAGGGCACTTGGAAACTAAAACAGATCAGAGAAATGTGTCTTGGTGGCAGAAAAAGCAAAGCCTCATTGTTCACTGAAAATTGCTGAATATTTTATGGAGTAATAAATGTTATTTAGGAAATCTGACAGAGCCGTGGTTTAATTTTATTTTTTTCCCCCTTCGCGAATTCGCACCGCAGCTCGCGGCTGCGAGCGGCGCACTCGACGCGACGTTGCACTCCCCCCCCTCCTCCCCCCCCCCCACAAAAATCCAAAAGATGAACAATCATGTTTATGTTCGGCTACAACAAAATTCCCGCATGTTGCATTGTAATGTATCATATATATGTGAAGCAACAGTTGCAAATGGAAATACATGTTTATGTAAAAAAAAACACTTTAAACGTCTTGATACATGTCATTTGTCTCGCTTTGTGAGGTTAAGGCAAGGTAATGATGCAACGTTATATAATTGTTTCCTTATACCGCTGTAGGCAGAAACACCTCCACTAGAGGGCGGTCTAGAGAGCCCCGTTAGAGGCTTTTTTGGCCTACTCTTCCACACTGGACCATTATTCGAGGTTATGGTACGATGGTGCTACGGATAAAAACTGACCCTTGTTATATGAACGTGAAATTTACGAAACTGGACCAGTTCAGCTGCGAATGCAAACGAGCAGCACTGCCATGTGTCTCTGTAGGCAGGGAGACACTTCGACTTCTAAAGGGAATTATATTGCGTTCGCTGCACACGTTGGCATTACATTTCGCGACACGTATCCGATGTCTGCGCTACTCAACTTACCCAGGCATGGTAGTTTGTGGCCGAATGAGTAGCGGAGTAACTCGACTATCCTGTTGTGTTCAAGGGGTGGGTTTTTTTTCCATCATTTCAATACAAAATCGGTTCTATCCGAGACAATGTCCCGATGACCACAGCTCTTTGGCCAAGGCACAGGGATTCGTCACAAAAGGAATGGAAGGCAAACCTCCCCGTCTAAAGTGTACGCTGCACCAAGCCTCTCCACCCGGTTGAATTTCAAATTCAGAACGCCAGCAAGTATTGAAGCCCACAGCGGTAATCAAAATACATTTTCTGCCAGTATCAACGTCAATACCGCTCGAATAAAAACTGGGGCGAAAAATGTAGTCGCATGAACATCATTTTTCCAAGTCGAAACACGTCCCCTTTCCAAAATGAAAGTATTTACAAAATTTAGTTTTTTTTTAAAAAGGTGCATTAAATGCTTCATGGAAACCTGAACATCATTAATCTCCATTAAACCCCAACGCGTCATTCGCGGAGCCAGGCAAAAATCTCGTGGCGACGTTGCCAGGAGTGGCCACCAAAGCGCTCTCTCTCTCTCTGCCTAGTTGGGCGCGTTACGTGTCCTTGGCAAACGGTCTACTGGAGCCCAGCTCTGTGCCGCAGGGTCTCGAGGAGGCTGTGAACTCAACAAACTCAGAGCTCTTAAGCCGTTGCCACTGGGGTTGCCACCTGCTCTGGTTTTCTCCCATGAATTGGTCCCTTCGAGGTAGTCCATCCTCGGAATTCTCGAGTCTTCCCAGGACCTTAAAGTCCCAGTTATTGTCAGGTTGCACAATAATGTATCGTCCAGATTTGTAAGACACACCGGAAAGACACACCCTCAAATAATAAAGTTACACAATCTCATCACACATACACACCTACCAGATTATAGTACACAGCACTCAAAAACTATTGCTTTAAGATGCACGAGATACGTCTGCACCTTATAAACAACACAGAGAATGCCGCGATGCGCCACCGAAGACAAAGCAATCGCACGCGTGCAGTTCCTCTCCCCCTCCTGCCGTGTTGCCCGAGTCGTGCCATGCGTAGCACCGACCTGTGGTTGCAGAGCTGGCAGGCGAAGCAGTCGAGGTGGTAGACATTGTCCCGGGCCCTCATCACCATCTCGAAGGCCGGGATGAGCTTGCTGCAGGCGGCGCAGTTTCCCGTCACGCCAAACAGCCTGCGGGTTGCAGGCCACAACACAGTTCAGGGGTGAGAATTGGGCGGCGTTGGCGGCAAATGCGTCGAGAGAGTAAATCAGTCTTCCTGCTTCTTTCGGTAAAGTCACGTAGAAGGGAAATAATAAAATAAGAAAAATACTACATAATAGAATAATTCTCACGACGTTTTGGCCACAACGCAAGCAGCAGTCCTCAGGTGAAGAACAGGTCTGTCGGAAAGCAGCGTTTACCGAAAGAACCAAGAAGATGAATCCCTGCAGTCACGAAAGCTTTAAATCAAAATTTAGAGTAAATCAGATCGCAAACGAAAGGGGGCGGCTTGTGCGTCCCCCCCCCCCGCCCGCTTCCCCGTGTTACTCGGTTTGAGGCAGAGTCTGCGACCCAATTGACGGGACTTGACGCAAAGCGGTCCATCCGGCTCCGTGGTGATTGTTGGGAGAGAACCAAGATCTCTTAAGCTGAAAAGTCAATCCGACATTTTTTCTATGAATATATAGCATCTAGAAAATCAAACGGCACTTCATTCAGCAAGGTCCTGCTTTGGAATTATTGGCTAATTGTTATTTTTAAAGCAGTAGAGGAAGAAAATGGGGGTAACCCATGCTTCGAAAGGTTTAACAAAAAGGTCCGTACAGATGGGTTTATGGACCCATTTTAAGTCAGCAATTTCCTGGCCAGCTCATCTCCATGGGTTTGAGAGTTTCTCAAAATCTGCACGAGCCACCCACATTTGCCCCCAAAGTGATGGATTAAAAGACATGTACCTCGACACATTCATCCTTCTAGGGCTGATAAAATATCACTGACAAAAGCAACCAAAGTGGATAGACTGACCCCCACCATAATAATGTCGAATTTCCATCACTGGCTCAGGATGGTCACGGGAGATGTTCACTGCCCCATTTGCTTGTTTGGGCAAAGTCACGCACCAGCTTATTACTTTTCGAGATTCATTTAAAATATATATTAATAATTCACCAACAATATGAAAAGCGAGGCAATGATTGTGTCGGCAGATTGGGTCAATGCAAGGTCAGTTCTAACCAAACCATTCAGATTCCTCTACAGAGCCTCCCAGGCATGGCACAGTGGCGTGTTTATCGCCCTTAAAAATTCGAAGTAAATCAAGTGTCCCACAGATGTGTTGATGCCTGCAGACCAGGGGAGGCAAGCATGCGCCAGGAGCCCTTCACTCGGCCTGGCGATGAAGCTAGAGGTGGCGCTGTTCAACTGCTCTTCTTAAGGACGCCTCAAGGAAACCGACTGAAGCGAACCCAAGGCTCTAATAACTTTGTCATCATTGCAGTCGACAAGAGCCTCAGCTTGTCGCTGTACACCAGTCCCCCCCCCCGCCCCCACCGGCCACTAGCCTCGTGTTGTGATGGTTCTTGACCTGTGTCGTAATGAGGCTAAAGTTATGCATCACTTGCGGGAGCCGAGTGCTCATGAACGACTGGGTGTTGCGGCGCGCGTGGCGCTGCAGAGCATCGACGGCGCTGCTGGGGATGAGAATTCTTGACCCATTATTAGGAATGTTGCGAGTTCAAATCCATGTCAGGGGCTGACCGAGCCCACCGTCCCTCTGGAGCCGATACAATGCATCATCTTGTGGTAAGAGGAAAATAAATAAATAGCCATTGCATCACACAACCATGAGAGGGGTAGCGATGACTTAGGCAGGCTTTTGTCTAGCAGTAAATTGATCATGTCCGATAAAATTTATTTTAAATTGTCCAATATATAATCTGGCTATGCCCTACGAATGTGGAAATGTCACTGCTGGTTCAGAGTTACAAAGAGAGAAAAAAGCAATGCCCCACGGATTTGACTTGGCCGGTGTGGTGGTCATAATGCACTCATGTCATCTAGGTGACAAATGTGAGGCTTGTGGGCGATGCAATGATGGAGCTACAATGTGCACAAGATACCCGCATGTAGTAAAGCAGCACAGCAAGTAGGCTAACAGGGTATGCACGAGGAGTTTGCACGTTAATCTCCTCCAAGAGCAGTTTTTCTCCAGGTACTTGCATTCCTTCTACTTCCAGCAGTTCTACAAACAGAACTGGCCAAACATCCCAAAGGTAGGACTCTCCTAGAAAATCAACCTGCAGTCTCAGCGAGGCTCCAAGAAGTAAAACAGAGAAAATCACATCTTGTGTAGCTCCGTGCGATGCAGTCACGTGGGAGGGTCAGTTGCAACAGCACGCGGTGTTACCACCGGAACGGCAAGTATAATTGACAATGACCTACATTTGAATAAATACAAAAAAATTTGCTGCCAGCTGTCAATAACAATTAAGGAGGCAGAGAAAGCGCTTCGCGGGGTGCAACGCGAAAATTAGCCAATTGCGATGCGTCGCAAAACGCGCGTCTCCAGAGAGCGGCGGAGTGCGCATCCTTGCATTGAAATGATTTCTTGAAGTCGGCGTGACCTCTGACCCGAGCGATGCAGTGCAGATGAGCACCTCCTGTTGGGGGGGATCACAAAGGCGGCGCGGATTGCCTCTCTGTTAAAGGTCGCAGAGTTCAATCATCAGCCATGGATGCGGCTTAGCGTGCAAGAGATGCAGAGCTCCCACGATCAGGAACACGAGTTCAAATCCAGGCCAGGCATGGCCTCGGCTGTACGAATCGTCATCGTAGGTGCACAGGTTGTGCTGCGGTGGCTCTCCGATGTGCGTTTGGCTTGTGCCGCTGGCGTGTTGTTCGGTTTGGTGTGCGACGTTTCCGTCAATGTTCTGGGAACTTCTTCAGGAAATGATTTCAGTTCTCAGTACGTGGCTAGGAAATGTCGGGCATCCGACCTAACAGCACGCGGTACAACGACGAGAAAACACATCAGGGAGCTATCATCGCCATCATCTCTAGCATCACCAGGGTCACACCGAGCACCATCCCATTAGACTGCACTACTTGGTAGGAAGTCCAGTGAGTATCGCATGAAGAGACTGGTCCCCGGCATCGCATTGTGGAATGTCTAACGCTTGCTAATGAGTGATAATCAAACGGGACACAATGCTTGCTTCAGAATGGGGTAGATTTTTTAAAGTTCAAGCACCAACGATGTTTTAAAGTTCGGGGTGTTGGTAAAACGAATGGGGTACCACTTGCCGTTCTATCAGTCTGGCGCGTCGGGATATTGACACTGCACCCACTCGCATCCAAACGGCGTTATTAAAAAAGGCACCAGGCGGGGAAAAAAGTCCTTGTGAAAGTCCCGAGAGACATGAGAACCATGCCACGCTGAGAGGTACACGGGCGGGTTACAGAAAATAATATTTCAAAACCATTTTTTTCAAACAAAGTTTGTGTTGAGGTCAGAGTTACAATGAAGTACATAGGGTTGTTGGGGGGGGGGCATTCTTAAGAATACAGCAGAATGTTAAATGTTAAAGTGCAGCACTAGCTGGAGTGTTGGTGCCGTTTAAAAGGCGCGAGCGTGCATCTCCTCGCTCATACGAAGCAGCAGGCAATGTTCATCGCCGCCTCGCGGAATATTTTCAAGGTGCCGAGCGGCGGCGAGCTGGGCAAAGGTTCAGTGCCCCAAGCAGAAATTCAAATCCTAAGTCACATACCAAGCGAATTCACGTTCAGAAGGACAATAAATCTCTCTCCCTCATCTATCCCGTCTGCATCTCTCGTCACACAACGCCACGGCATCTACATTTCCCTGATCTCACGACGCCGCGAGCTCATCTTCATTCCCTTTGGTCATCTCACCTCGGATTTAAATGCAAAAACATTTTTTGTTTAGGACGCCCAATGGGCCAGCCCCAGCAACTGACCGCACCTCGGCAGAAATTCAGAGTGCCTGAGCAACCGTCTACTCCGAGCCGGAGAAATTTTAATATTTTTATAAATCGAGCTGCACTGTTGCATCATTAGCGATTAGGGTGGGTGTTGCGAATAAACACTGCAACCCAAAAAAAAGGTTCAAGGTTTGTTTTTTCCTTTGCCAACCCCATGGGATGATCCTACTGCCACAGGTAAATTCCTGATGAGAAGGTCTGAACAACACCGCCTCTGATTATGCTTAACCCGACAAGACACGCCGGTACGCGGGACGTTAACAAAAAAAAAACACTTTGACACGCGCACGAAGCTCGCTTGCTGTTTTCGGTGCCGGCAGTCGGTTTGACGAGCGCGCGATGCGGTGAAAACGAGGCGCACAGCGCGGGGCTGCTAAAGAGCGCATGGCATCGTTCAACGAAAACGAAAATATGAATGGGTGGATGTTACGGTGGCATCTTAGTCTGCAGACACCACCCACAGTACGTCCACAAGCATGCACACAGCAGCAGCGCCTTTCTCTGGATTCATCGAATAGTGGCCAGCATAATTACACACAATACAAACCTACTGCACATGATTATTAATTATAGATTATAGTCCCGTCAATCCACTGCTGGATGAAGGAATTGATTTGACACAAAGCACATGACACGTCGAAACATTGAGACACATATGCGCGTATAATTGCGCGCGCACACAACGTCCACGTAATAATTGCTTAAATTTAGATTTAAAGCTTTCGTGACTGCAGGGAGTCATCTTCTTGGTTCTTTCGGTAAAGTCACGTAGAAGGGAAATAATAAAATAATAAAAATTAAACATAATAAAATAAAATTCTCACGACGTTTTGGCCACAACGCAAGCATCCGTCCTCAGGTGAAGAACATGAAGATCATTCAGACGCTGTCTTTCCGACAGCCCTGTTCTTCACCCGAGGACGGCTGCTTGCGTTGTGGCCTAAACGTCGTGAGAATTATTTTATTATGTTTATTTTTATTATTTCATTATTTCCCTTCTACGTGACTTTACCGAAAGAACCAAGAAGAATAATTGCTTAATCGGCTGTTGCAGGCAGTACAGCAAACAGATTGGGGACAGGCTGCACATATGTGTGTCATTCAGTCACCCTAGTATGCATATGCGCCGCGCAGCGTAAATAACACGCGATGCATCACACACGCATTGTATCTGTCGTGATACATCACAG